GATCAATTTCGTGCATCAACCACATCAGTTGCTCTGTGACAAATGCGATTTCAAGTGCACGAACAAGTCCACGTTGTACTCGCATAAGCAACGTCGACACAGAAAACGCGCGAGAACAGTGGTGAGCACCGAGGTGTATTCCTGCGACGTGTGCAGCTTCAAAACCACCAAGAAGTCATCGTTGTCCTCGCACATATACCGGAAGCACCGGGACCCGCCGGGAGGTGTAAACGCGGAACCGGAACTGTTCTCTTGCAGTCAGTGCGACTACAAGAACAAGAACAAGTACGAGTTGAAGATACACGTCGCGCGCAAGCACACGGAGGACTTCAAATATTCTTGCGAGACCTGCGGCAAGAGGTACAAGGTCAAGGGCGATCTGACGAATCACATACGTTTCAATCACCGCGAGCAGCCGGTGATCTGCGACGTCTGCGGCAAGACCTGTCTCAACAGCAATTCGCTGTACGTGCATCAGAAGTTCGCGCACTACAAGGCCAAGTACGAGTGCCACTTGTGCAAGAGGCGAATGGTCAGTCAGGAGAATCTCGACGAGCACATGCTCAGACAGCATGAGCGCAGAGAGAACGTGGTGTGCGAGGAGTGCGGCAAGACGTTTTCGCGAAATAGCAGACTGAAGATACACATGAGAATCCACACCGGGGACAAACCCTACCCGTGCACCATCTGCAGCAAGTCCTTCGCCCGCAGAACCGCTCTGAAGCAGCATCTGCTCATTCACACCGGCATCAGACCATACGTGTGCGACATCTGCGGCAAAGCCTTCACTCAGAAGCCCGGTTTGATCAGTCACAGAAAATCCCATCCGGGTCCCCACCCGCCCTTACCGCGTGTCCTGATCGATCATATTCTGAGTAACGTCATGAGCAACACGTGATTAAACAGCGTAAGATTTGCGTACAGGCTCAGAGATATGTGATGTGTGAGAGTAACGATTCTCGTGGGCATGTGTAAATTTACTCGTACACCATCGCGATATCTCTGTAGTAAATAAGACATTAAGACTCTTTTATTGTACAAAAGCTTTTACTTAAGTGATTCTTGCAGCAATAATTTTATATATATATATATACAGGGTGTCCCAGAATTGGTTTAACATCTCTCGTAGGCAGATAGAAGGAATAAAACTGAGGTGAAAAGTCTTATACCATTTTGCTAGATT